TAACCAGTACATGGTTTGACACGCACTGCAGCACTGTGGGCAAGATCCACGCTGATGAAGGCACGAGATGGACACAGGGCTTTTGTACTTGCAACCAGGACGCGGTACATATCAGCATCGTTCAGAACAGGACTCGCTTTGACGGTCTCCTGCTTCAAGTCTATCGACTCCTCAGTTACAGTCTGAATGCCGATCGAAACCTGGCATCACTGAGTCCATGGAGGGAGATGGTGTGTCTTGCAATCGTGTCGAGCAGCGGAAACTGATGGCATGATGCATATGGTGATTTTTCCACTTCGCGATGATGCTACAAAGCCCGAAGTTGATCTAGTTGCAAAGTCTTCGGGTGAATCGTTTAGGAATGGCAAGTTTAGACGCGACAAACCCAGACGGGCTCTTGTACGTAGTAGAAAAACAAATGCAACCTCTTCGACTTGCAAGTGCTGCCGGTGGGGGGGGTGGCAACACACATGAGAAGCAAATGCACGAGTGGCCCCGACAGCACTGGATTATGAGGGTTTGGAGCCCGACAGACGTGGCTGCCTTTTTGCGATGGCGGGCAAGTAAGACGAACGAAAAAAGGTTGAAGAGGTGAAGCCAAGTTGATTCATGCATCATCTCATCTTGGGAGAGCCGGGCGCACTTCAGATTTCACGCCCTTCGAAAACATCCCCGAGCCGTTTGTTCCAGCGAAACTCCACATGATCTTCGAATTCGGCCTTGAAACGCCGACAGCACTCGGCTAAAGTGGCCTGAAACATGCACGTAGAACGTTTTCGATGAAACAAAGCAGACGTAAAGATATGCTGCTTGCGACGAAAGCAAAATGTGCTCACCTGATGGCCTGCATATGAAGCTTCTCACGGCCTGTTTCTAGGACCGGTTCTCGGTATTTAAGATACAGAGTACATACTTTATACTTCATACGATAGTGTAGACGATAGGCCGTATACTATATCATTCTATGTACTATGCAGTCTGTACTACAAACTACATGCTACGGTGGATCCTCAACATATAGACGATAGACTCTATATACATATATATATATATATATATAACTTATGCTGTTTTCACTTTACACACTATAAACACTGGCTGCACTACATTTTTCATATACTCTTCATGCAATCTGTACATACATACATACGTACATATGTATGTATGTACATATTATTATGCGTTCCGGATACTATCTACGGCCTACGGTAGACTCTATTAGCACAACTACTTCACACGATACATTATTTACTATATACTTTAGTATAGGCTATACCAACCCATGTTTTGCTGTACGATACTATACTGTACTATACTACTATAGTACATTAGACTCATTAGACCACGTTATACTCTATTCTGTCTTTGTTAGACTGAACTAACTTGACTAGACAGTACCATCACCACGCTACTGCTGCACCATTACTCTGTTCACTATACTTCAAAGCGTTATGTACTCTAACTTATTTATGTTACTATGCTACGGTATGCTACGCTTTACTATACTATGCTACATGCTGAATAGCCGCTAGATACGTCACACGATATTCAAGTTACTATATATATACTATTATACAGTGTAAAGGAACAGCAAAGTGCTGCAAAGTCGCGTCGATTGCCGGCAAAGAACTCATGGCACTGGTCTCGCAGCGGTCGGATGTGCCCGCAACTTCCTGTTAAAGGCAAGACGTAGGGTCCCGAAAAGGGATCTGTTGGAATTCTTTCACGGGGATCTACCTGCACAGGGTTCTGCCGAGGTTCTGTAAGGATTCTATGAAGGTTTATAAACGAGCTGTTCTGTAGGGATTATGCAGTTGTGCTATATGGGCCTTGAAGACATCGGAGGCATTCTCTAAATTCGGGGGTCCATCTTTGTGCCGGGGGTGTTACTCTTGTAAGTACGATTTAGGCTATGCTCCCTGGTCTTCTGGTGCCGCTGTGTTGAGGATGCAGACGGACAGACGGAAACAAAATGAAGCACATGCACACAACGCACAGAGAGACAAGCACAGATGCTCGTGCGCACAAACGAGCCCAGAGGAGCATGTTGCTTAACGAGCCCAGAGGAGCATATTGCTTGCTCACATAAGATGCAATGCAATAGCATCCCATCTATTCAACCAAGGATGAGGATGCTGCAAGTAAGTCGGGTCAAACAAGAGAAATAAATACAATGCACACAGCAAACATGACAGATATCACACAAATCTGGCAGGGAGTTGTGCTTCTCGATGGCATCAGCTTCTGATGCGCGCTCAAGGAATTCCAACATCAGCGAGGGAGGCAAAGGCCCGGCTCTTGAGACATCTTGAGACACGACAGACGGGGGTCAATACCTGTATCTAACTATAACTAGATCCGACAGAGTTGCAGCTGAGGATTCCCACCACAAAGGCTCGATAATGGGCGAACACTGCACAGGTCCAGAAAGGACAAACAAAATAGTAATCTCAGCACCGTCACCTTACAACGGGGTGACAGCCAACGGGGTACATGGGCTGTCGGCACGTCTGCGTCGACCTGGTTCTGCAAACCTATTCTTTAGACTCTTGTGCACCCAGGACATCCGACAACGGCAACGCGAGACCTGCTCCAGTACCTGGAGAACGGCATCCATTGGCAAGTTCTTGAACCTTGGCTCAGACTGCCTCAACATGCCACAAGACTGTCGTGAGTTGACGGCCAGCACGATGCAAAAAGAATGCCACTGCTGGCTTTTTGAACAAAGAGCCAACCTAGATTTGATTGCGGTGCTGTGTGCAACCTGCTACCCTTGGGGCATGCCGGGCCGATCCTGGTTGTCCAGGTAGCATCAATATATGCTGCCAGGCCACTTCTGACTCTCAAAGCTGGGTCCAGTAAAGTCCAGATCGACCACGTGCAGATGCAGAGAATTGACACCTCGCAGAGGCAAAGGATCGAGGGCATGAAAGCAGCGGCTTTAAGCCACACGGCGACTTCAAAAGAACTTGGAGCTGAGGAGCTGTTGTGGCCGTAGACATGAAAGAACAATCCCACGTTGTGAGACCAGCCCTCACTCTCGCGAGCACCATTCACCCAAGTGAGCGCGGCTTCCTGCAGAACAACACTTGGCTCGACGACTCGAAGCAGTCCCTTGCTCAGTGAGAAGCCGAGCATAGCCGAGCGGTGCCAGCAAAACTTGTCATGCGTGGATCTGATTGCATACTCCAGCCCAAAGAACCGGGATTGTTCATCCATGCAATGAACTGTATGAGCTACTGCCGAAGGGTAAACACAAGCCGGCATGCATTCGCCCTTCAACACCCGGAGGCCAACACACGTCAACCATCTGCATTGGTCGGCACGGGACTTTCATGGGTTGGGAGCTGCGAGAACATGGCCGTGTAAATTTGGGCAGGGGTTTCGCCTTCATCATCCTGATCTCCGTAAGAGCGTCTTGAGCACATGTGCTCATGGGAAAAACTCGTTCTTGCTCATCCATCATGCCTCAGAGCATGCACAGGCGTCTCAAGTTGCACACCAAATCACACCATGTTGCGTGAGCTGTGGAACCGCGTGAGTTGAGCAGTACCCAAAAGCAAATGCTGAGCAAGGCTGGCCAGGCCACCAAAAACGAGTGCGTTAAACCACCGCCAGTGCAGGTTCCGCCGAATAAGAAATCGATGGCGCTTCGACATGGAAGCTTTCCCAATCCACGCAGGATCATCGGAATCCCAGTGGGCATCATTAGCCGGAAGGTTATTCGCGATGATATACTTCGCCTCATCCAGCTGCTGAAGTAGATACACAGTTTCAGCGCATCATACAACTCTAGAGGAATGTAATCGGTAATGGCCACAGTACCAACCGTGGAGGACAGAGCTCCCGAAGTAAACTCACTGCTGTGTTCGCACGGACACACAAACGTCTTCCCCTGCCTGCCAGTGCAGCAAGAAGGTCTGCTTGTCAGCAGTACTGCCGGTATATGAGGCAGCTGCCTCACAGATAGGTCCAACGATTACCTTTGCATCCCTGCTATTTCTCGAGAAACTTGCAGTGTATGAGGCTGTTTTCCCTGACAAGACAGCCTTGTTCGCAAAGACCTTCCTCGCAGTGACGACGCGCCAGTGGCGCTGCACTCTTAAGACGACTTTGAGGAGCTTCTGGTTGTACTCCTTCTCTGACATCTCCTGTCATGGTCAACCAGAAACCGCCATGCACCCAACTCGGGTGCAAGGAAGACACCGGATACATGGAAGCAACATGCAAAGAATTGCAAAGATTCGGTCCTCTGCCTGGGCGTGTCCGGCATACCAAGGCAACACTGCGGTCCCCGGTGCCTAAGACCACGAAACAAGGCTTGCACTAAATGCTCTGATCGCTAATCACTTCTTGCAGTCAGTTGGGAACCAGCATGTCGCAGTGTGGCTCCATTGCAGCTGTGGGTCCTGCAACAGCGTGACCTCGTTCCTTGGCGAATCGTCCTCTTTCTTGCAGCATTTGCACCTTGGGCAGTCTCCCACAGCAGCTGCTTGATGCCTCAAAACTGCGACGTGCGACATCGAACGACTTCATGGTCGGCCGCATGAAGCCACGGGCCCTGCGAATTGTTGCGACATTCAGCTGACTGTCAGCGAAGGCAAGCGGCTCATTTCCCATTGGCCCATTGGCCGTGAGCTTCTGGGCCCAATCAAATGTAGATACACACAGGAACTGTTGAAGTACTAGTCCGTGCAGAATCAGAACCTAGAATGTCGTGGGCCTAACCGTAATGCAAAAGCCTATCATGGAACATGATATCATGGGCACATGCCTCAGAATAACCGTCAACTGAGCCAAGTCAACAAGATGTGACAGGCCCCAAGCCACACTTTTCATGACTGGATCTTGCTTGCAAGAGCTGCCGTCAGCGAATCGAACGCGGCTGACCCTAAATTTCATATATCAGGGAAAGGCAGGAGGCCGGTAGCACAGCAGCAACTTTCTCAACCTGACAGCCAAAGCCTAGTGGAAAATGCGACAGCTAGGTGGCTAGGCCGTTAGGCGCTGTAGACAGACCGGTAGTCTTTGCCAGGTCCGGAGATCCAATCGTTGAAGATCTTGCTAAAATTTCTTCGGTGCCAGAACTCGAAAGCATTCACCAAAGTAGTTCCGCGGCATCTGACATTCCAGCGATCAACGAACTTGTCATCGAGCATCGACTTTATGGTGCTCCACTCCTGCAGAAACCGACTGCATGCAAAAAGCAGGCCTAAAGTGGGCTTTGCAATGTGGTGCAGTAGGCGCGTGCTCTCAAGCCACCAAACATGCTTCACTCGTGCCTGCATTGGCGACGAAAAGAGCAGCTTAAGGCAACCCAGTATTCTTAGCACCGCTACTGGTATTGCTCTAACAACGTGCTGCCTCTCCTCCCGAGGGCACTGGACGTAGATGTCTCTGTCCACCCATTGGCAAGCATCCATAGCGAAGGAAGGCCACTGCAAGTGGTACTTCAGGAGCATCTCGGAGGGCTCCAAATGTGGACCACCATACCTCTCATACTCTGCACCTTGCCGGGCTCAGGGAATGAGAACAAACAGTCACGGCAGAAAATTCGGAAGTCTCCCCTGTTTGACGAGTGGAGGCACCTGGATTCGGTTGGGGAAGAGGCTGCGCTCTCGTCGGGAGTTCAGCATGAGCTGTTTGACAAAAATGATTTTATGGTACTTGCCTAGTCTTCCAAGCTTTTTGCTTAAGCTGACGCTGTTTTGCGGTGGACTCGAGGCCGTATCGGCTCCACCACACAAAAGCATCGCGATCACCCCTCGCCCCCTGCCAGAGATGATGCAAAGAGCCGAAAACATCGAGACACCCCCCAATGGTCGAAACAACTGCCCACTCCCGCATTGAAGAGTCGACCATGCTGACACACACACACACATGTGGAACAGCATGCTGAAGTTCGTAGTCGCGATTAGTCGCGAAGCGGAGGCACCAGATGCATGAATCGAATGGAGGCTGCAGCCAGTTCAGCAGGGCCCTGTCTGAGCATATTATGCAAAGAGGATCTGCCCTCTCTCCTGAGATGCCCACAGAACATCTTCATCAAACCCTCTTCGTGGGCATCGAGCAGGTCTGCATCGGCTCCACTCAGACATCCCATGAAATTCCTGAGCTCGCCAATGCTGGCCAAGCGCTATGCACTGCTGAAAGTTGAGCCCAGTGAAGGCAAGCATTGCCGTCGCAAACTTTGCATGAAGCGTTGGCATTGCTGATCTGCCAAGTGGCATCACGAACGGAGCACGCTGGAAACCGCACCAATCAAAAACTCCAATATCAAGATCGCCCATCTCATCATGCCAGAACCAAGCCTGCAAAGGCTCGCAAGTGTGTCGACTTCCCAATTTGCCACATGAAACTTTGATCACAAAACTTGAATTGCTTCCCATGAATTCTAGCTGCATTGTCCGCTTGGAGGTTCATGTGCATGGCCGCCGTCCAGTCGCTCGAGTTGCTCATGTATGACCTCCCAGCTTGCACTGCAGATGCTCGCTACAAGTCACAACAAGGATCAATCCAGTCCAACAGAAACAGCACGGCATTCTGCTACAGCCAGCCGAGGGTGTGAGCTGCATGTTCGCTGCCCTTCTTGACGGCTGAGGCGGCATTTCAATTGTTGTCGGGCCGTCTGAACATCCACCGTGCATACACTTTACAAGAAGGGAATCGAGTGCCGGGCGTACCTGATGTCATCAAAGTACGGCGCTATTTCCACGATCTCCTTAGCTCATGCGTTCCGCTTGCTGGACCTGCGAGATTCCTGTTGCAAGATCTACGATTGCGATTGCCAAGCCCAAAAAGGTTCTCCAGGCACTGGCGAGGAACCTTCTTCATTTTCTCCAGCTTTGCCTTGTCTCGGCCTGTAACATACTTGCCGTCAAACATCGCTGGGCCGTACTGGCGCTCCTGCTCCTATCTGCTATCATGTCATCCAAAAGTCTCGCTGCACAGACTGTTCCGATGCTGTGCTTCATCAAACATGGGAACATTATTTTGGGGTCCTTATAATCAGGATCATACTATTTGGGGTGCTATATTAGGGTCCCCTGTTTTCGGCAACCCCCATATCTCGGCACTGGCAAGGAAGACTGTCAAAGCTTTTGGCCACGTCCGCTCGCCTGAGGCCGTAAAAATTTGCGAGGCAACGTTCAGCGCAAAATCGATCCCCTTCTCGATCATGGACCGACCTCAAGCAATCAAGCCGATAGCAATGGCCCGACAGCAAAATCTACTCTGCTAGCCGGATTCCTTGTACGGGAAAATAACGCTGCAAACTGTGCTTCTGCCTCATCGCTGCGACAGCGTGCCCAAGCTTCCCACAGCCACCTTGCAGCACCTCAAACTTCTTCTGCTTCTGCGGTTTTCGAACTCGAATCACTTGGTCCAAGTACTCCTGTCAGGACACTGGGATCATACCTTAATACCTGTAGTAGGGTAACAACGCCTATATGAGGAAGTATGGCCCCCTACCCCCGATGATGGGATCTGGCACCCTGCGCAAAAAGTCATCTCCAGAGCCATTGGCAGTCATTCTAGACATGCAGGGATCGGAACTTCCAGAATACCATCCAGATACACTGCTTCACTACGTCCTTCCTCTTCATCCAACTATTAGTAGACTGCTGCCATATTGAGGAAGGCAGCGACAGACCGCTGAAGTGGCTCCTGCTCCGTGTATTTTTGCATCGGCCCCAAAAACGAATCGTAGCGGCCTTGATGGTCCCAAGCTGCCAAATGAGCCATCTCACCTGTGGGGTTTAGGGGAGTTGATGGCGTAAGTGTCTTCTTCGTTTTTGTTGGCGAAATGTTTTCTACTGAGGCATCCCATCCTACAAGTGCTTCTCGGGCCGGGAATTGGTGAGATCAGGGATTTTGTTTTGGGGAGCGCCGGTCAAGCACATGAGACTTGTACCGTGCTGCATTGTCCACATTGCTGCTTTGAAGTGCTGATGTCTGGGCGCCGAGCGGAAAAGCGCATAATAGATGCTCGGCGCATCCTCCAGCAAATAGTCCTGCCGTCCAGCAGCTCGTTCAGCAGACTCGTCTTATGCAGAAGTGCTGCCACTCGTCAATTGAATGCCGAAAGTTAGTGCATGCCGGGAGGTCGCTACGAGTTTCGAGGCTGGAACTCCGCCGGAGAGCACGCGTCTTAAAGACTGACAGCGTCTGGAAGCGGTCGCCGGTGCAAGTCGAGTGCCGAGAACGAGAAACTGCATGTGTGCCTTGTCGGCGCTCCTGGTATTTGCCACACACAGGCAAGATCTCGAAAGGTTTTCTCTCGATCTTCTCCGTCACTTTTCCTTTCACCACCTTGCCAGGACGACACGCAGAGCAGCACGATCTGCAAGCCACAGACACCAGACTTGACTATCACAGCACCTTCCCACGTCTCCCGAAGGGAATGCGCTCCACAATCAGGACCTGAAGCGGCGGGCAACTGGACCGAGGACAAGCCCGATCCGACCTCACTGATCATTTGAGGACCAGGCATAGTTCGTGGTTTCGCGGTTGATGTCGGCAAAGTATAGCTTCGGTATCCGAAAAGGGAACCTCAGAAAGGAAGTCGAATCCAATGACAAGTCCGATTTATGTATTCGAAGTCACTCAACTTGTTGCGGAAGATTCTCATCAGCATAGCAGGATGGCGAAACCACGAAATGATATCGGGTCAAGTCTGGGGGGGTCTGCCTCGGGACCGTTCAATCCAGACCTTTTCACTGGGTCTGGATAGCATAATCTCGAATGCTGTGGTTCAAAACGCCGGGAGCAATCCAGACCCTGCACCCAAAACATAATTCAGACCCCAACGGATCGCCAACACCTGGATACACATAGAGCATGTGCGGCTTTCGGGCTCGATGCGGGAAGTCAATGGCACTGATGAGTTTCGGCTCCGGCTGTCGCAAACTGTCTTGACCAATGATATTTTGAGTTTGGTGTCCCGTTTTGGTGCATCGCGGCGATATTCTTGGAGATGTTTACGGAATGGCGGCTTCCGGAAACAATAGCAATGTGATTGTAGGATCGGTTTGAAAGCCCGCCAACCCGTGCGCCCCATCCGGGAGGGCGAAAAGCAAAATCTCATGTACTGATGCCCCCCTATGTGCTCCGCATGCTGTCAAACACAAAAGTGCATTTCGAGCCACCGTCCCTGGGGTTTCTGGGCTTCTGGGTTTAGGGTTCTGGGTTCAGGGTTTTTTGCATGATTCTGGCCTCAGGATTTCTGGTTTCAAGGTTTTCGCGCTTCTGGGTTCTAAACTCTACTAGTAGGCTTTTGGGTTTAGAATGCCTGGATGTTTCTGTTTAAGGCTTCGGGGTTTCGGTTTCTGAATTCAGGGTTTCTGGATGTTTCTGGCTTTCTGGGGTTCTGGGTACAAGGCTTTTCTGGGTATAGGGGTGTAGCTCGGGTAGCGCTCGCAGTAGCAGTAGCAGTCGCAGCAGCCGTAGCCGTAGCCGCAGACCTAGCATTAGCCCTAGCAGCAGCAGCAGTAGACAGTAGCCGTAACAGCAGTAGTAGCAGTAGCCGTAGTAGCCGTAGCAGTAGCTGTGCAGCTCGCATAGCCGCGGCCGGAGGCGTAGCAGTAGCAACAGAACCGAAACCCGATTCGGTCTCGGATTTCGGGCTTCTGGGCTCTGTGATGGGACTCGAGCGGGGCATGCTTAAGTCCAACGAAATATAATTCCGTTGGACTTACAGGAACCTATTAAAAATACATCAAAAGTCGGTCCTTGGGACCGGTGACCCATTCCCCCCCCCCCCCCCGAATCTCCACATGGAGGGCCACAATTGCTGCCCGGAGGGCTACACTAGCCACCCTAACCACCCGCTGCAAGCCCGTTAGCCTGCTACATCGCTCTTTGGGATCGGTTTGGCGGCCCGGCGACCCGTTCCCCCCCCGTCCATGGCCGAAATGCGCATGCTCGTCGAGCTTTGTTTGTGCGCCGTTCTGGAGTCGTTTGGGTAGGGCTTTCTGGATATGGGCTTTCTAGGTTTGGGTTTTCTGGATTCAAGGTTTCTTGGTTAGGTTTGGGGTTCTGGCTTCAGGGTTTCTGGTTTTGGGGTTTCTGGGTTTGGGGTTTCCGGCTTCATGGTTTCTGTGTTTGGAGTTGCTGGGTTTAGGATTTCTGGGTTTGGGGTTCTTGGTTTCACGGTCTCTGGTTTTGGGTTTCTGGGTTTGGGTTTTCTGGGTTTGGGGTTCTTGGCTTCATGGTTTCCGGTTTGGGGGTGTCTGGGTTTAGGATTTCCGGGTTTGGGTTTCTTGGCTTCACGGTTTCTGGTTTTGGGGTTTCTGGGTTCGGGTTCTAGCTTCAGGGTTTCTGGGTTTGGGTGGGTTCTTGGCTTCAGGGTTTCTAGGGGTGTCTGTGTTTCGGATTTCCGGGTTTGGGTTTCTTGGCTTCACGGCTTCTGGTCTGGAGGTTTCTTGGTTTGGGGTTGCTGGGTTTAGGATTCTGGGTTTCACTTTTTCTGGTTTTAGCGTTTCTGGGTTTGGCTCCTGGCTTCAAAGTTCCTGGGTTTAGGGTTGCCGGGTTTAGGATTTGCGTTTGAGGTTTCTGGATGGGTTTCTGGTTTTGGGCGCTGCCAGCCTTGTCAATTGCTCCTAACAGATCTCTCTATCGTCGCAGGTCTGCTGCCTGGGTTGCCGACGAGTATCTGGCCTGCACCCCCCCCCACCCGTGCCCGCGAAACCGCCAAACCCATTCTCTCCCCCAGTGCAGATGTCGGGCAGTGTGTCATTTCGTCTGCATGTTTTCTATGCGAAGTTACTACGTTTTTTGGCGGGGTCTGGATTGACCCTGCCGGGGGTCTGGATTGGTCCCCGGAGCACCTCAGACCTTCGGCAAAATTGGTCTGCAGCGCAAGGTCTGAAGTCCCCTGCCCACTTGAGGGGATGAAATGTCTTTCTCTTCATTTTCATTGTCCTCATGATCATACCCCTCGGGAAGGTCACCAGGCGTCTCCACTATGAGCAGCATTCAAACTACCATATCTCTGAAACTCCAGCTGGGTTTCCTTTGAAATTCGCCTGGGCCGCTGCCGAAGCTGTCAGAGTTTCCCACAAGGATCGCCGGTTTCCCCTCGCACCCCACCTCCCCCCTTCCTCTGGCCTACAATTTTGCGCTTCGTCACCCTCACCCCCTTTCCCCTCCAAGCCTGCCTCCGCTTCTCTGCTTCCGTCCCTCTTCACTTGCAGCCGGGCCGAGGCAGACGATGCGAAGCGCTTACAATTCGACATAAGTCCCCTAACAGAAACCGTCAGAGTCCTGAACCAAAGAGGTCTGCCCCAGCCCAACCCCATCCAAAGACACCTAAGGCCCAAGTCCCTCTGCAATCGGACAACCCCACGCAACCCTCATGAAACCCGATCGAATCCCTGTAGAAGCAACCCCTCTAAGACCTATCAAACCCTGTAGAACCTCTAAGCATGCCCTACAGCCCAAAAAGCCCTGAACCTAGCGGCAAGGATAGCCTTCTAGTTGTAGTAGGGACCCTTTTGCGGGAAATGATTGATCAGTTCTGGGAGGGTCTACGTTTTTGTGATAATGCAGGGCTTCTGGTTGTGGTGCCAGGAGTCCCGGTTGTAGCAGGGACTATTTCCCGGGGAGGGCGGGAGGGGTTTTGGTTGGTCTTTGACTCCAGGATTTGCTATGCGAGGTTCAGACGCCCCCCCCATTTCCCTGGAACTCACATATTTAGAGAAGCCAAGCTTCAGGTGCTCACAGCAGATGGAAGTGAGCAGCTCAGCAGAATCCATGTCTTGATACGCAGACATCTGCATCCGATATCGCCTTGCGACTCACAGAAGCTGCCGAGATGACTTGGAGTCGTGCGAACCCTCATAATCCTCAGAGTAATCCTGGTACAACTCTTGTTTACTAGCCCTTAGATCTTGACTGGAGTCCATACTTTATAGTAATTCCTTATGGAGAGTCCCAACGTCTAATGGCTTTGAGGCTTGGGGGCTTGGGGTCCATGACTCAACAACTTATGGGTTAGAGCAAACCCGAACCTACTAAACTGGATTTCTGCATACCCCCCCCACACACACACGCACAGATTCAGCAACATGACCACCCTACCCACTAAATCTCAATGCAGCGTGTCGACGCGCCACGCTAAGTCATGTCATGGCACTTCCCGGTCTCTGACTCGAAGTAGTCCCACGGGTATTTGGCAAAGAGCTTTGTGTGCAGATTGGGGTCTGGCCTCAACAGCACCGTGCACGAACATACACTATATACTAAAAGGACGAGGCGCCGTCTGAGAAGCTCGAATCTTGGGCTATGTGAGTGTGGCAAAAGCAGCTTGCACACCGTTCCATCAAACTCTAAACCTTGCAAAATCGTGCAAGCCGAGTCTTGCACTTGGCATACTGCAGCTCAATCAACGCCTGGTTCGTCGTTACGACAAGGCTTTGCCAAGTCTGCTAGGACCTGCTGCACATGCATGAATCTTCGGTCCTTGTGACCGGCACCGCCAGCGGCCTCAACTCAGAGGCATGGTGCAGGGCAAGCACACGTTGCTCCAGGACAATCTCCGACGTACGTGCGCACACACATACTGGTGGTTTTAGTCGAGCCCGCGACATCGAAGCCCGAGTGCGGAAGCTGCTCCACATGCAAGACCTCCCGGCGAGAAACGGCTTGCGATTTGAGATTGAGCTCCAGACAACCAGAAAGCCCTCTTGTCTTTATCCTTGTAGTGTTGAAAAACTGCCTAATACGTGGAAAGCGTCAAACGCACGCAGAGAAACCATCAAACTTACAGAGAGAGGTCAATCTGCCAGCTGATGTCCACGCAGGGTCTTCATTGTAAGAGTTCGTGACTTTTCCCATTCCCAAACGCTGCACTTCGTCTTCTGAGCTGGCTCTGGTATGGTCTTGTTCTTGAACGTCTCAATGCACATACTTGGTAGCTCCCAAACACCGAGCTGTGCACAGCAAGAGAGCACTCCAAAATCGTGAAGCCGAGGGGAAGTGCGCTAACACCGTGTTAACACTTAAGCGCTTCAGGCAGGTGTTCTAGAGATGAAACGGCAACACGGGTCCCAGCAATCCGACTTGAGAGTGTTCCGATGCACCGATTGGAGCAATCAAGCCTGCACAGAAACATGCCCTTGCGACCCAATAGGGCAGGCGAGGCGGACTGGCATTGAGCTTCACCTGATGAACGGAAGTGGATACAAACCGATGCTGGCAGCAACATGACGCCAAGCCAGCAGTGAACGTTCACGCGCGCGCTCGCACGCGCGTGGGTGGTTGGTGTGTCTGTCTTTCCTTCGTCAGGCTTGACGGGCGAGCCCCCCGCTGATGTTGGCGGTATGCGCTGTATTAAGTGTCTGTCTGTCTCGGTCTGTCTCAGTCTGTCTGTCTGCCTTGGCCTGGCCAACCAAGCCTCAAGGCAAACAACCCGAAAACTCCGTCCAGTCAACCGGCTTTTGTGCAGGCCTTCACCACGCTGTTGTCCGAGGGCAGAGTCCCAAACCTTGAGTGACCGCCAACATGAACCATTCTTCTGCAAACCTAGTTTGTTTGGCTGTAGCCTGTGAGCATGTGGCCTGCCAAGATCGCACTTGCGGAAAAAGCTCCATGCTGTCTGACAAGCGCTTCCAAAATCACAGATATCTAAACCATCAATGGACGTTTTGACACATGTCTTTGCAATCGAGGCTCTTATGAAAGGCTTGGGTGTACCACGACGGCCCACAAGACTTCAGCCCCTCCACATTGTGCGGGAACTGCAAGCCGGAGAAATGGCCTCCACGCTAAAGAATTTTTGTCTCAGCTAGCATGTGACTTGTCATAGCAGTCATAGCTCTGTCCCTTCATCAGCAAACTGGAAGACCGGCATCGGGCTGCCGAGCCCTTGCGGCCTGCCTGGCAAGCTCTTCACTGACATCTCCTCAGCCACGGAGCTCTCTCGTCTTAAGGCTGCTATGGGAAATCTCGTCAGCTTGAATCGAGCGTCTTCCAGCTGCCCCGAAAGCAAAGCTCTTGCGATTTTGCTAGAAGGCGCAATTGCTATGCTATGCTATGCTGCTACGCGGTCCCATAAACCAGGCCACTAAAAAATGACAACAGTCTGACCCACTACTTAGACTTGACCACTTGAGATTGACGTCGGTCAGGTGGGATGACTGAGGTGCGGTCTGCCATCTCCTTGGGTTGGACCGGCAGGCTTGAACAAAAGGGTGCATGCAGACATGACGTCTGTCCTGCAGATGCCTACGCTATCTTTGCCAAGATGCTTTGGGGCTCAATCGCTTGAAAGGCGGGAGCATGTCTTTCGGCTGGACCTGCGAAGTCTGCCGGCCCCACGTTCATGCTCCGGTATTCTCCAGCGTCTGTCCTTGCCTCATGCAGGAGCCTTTCAGGTGTCTCAACCTCAGCCGGGCAGTTCAGAGTGATGACGTGCGGAAGGGATGCGGCATGATGCAGCATTCAGGAAACTCAGGAGCACAGTAGTGACTCCGCAATCCTTCCCTACTTCCCTTAGTTGCGCTCCCTGGTCCAAGATGGTCCGAGGTTCTGGAGGCGGCAGCATCTTCCGACCTTCGCGGAAAGCGCCTGGCAGTGCAGCCGCTTCCGAGGTTGGTCGCAGCGTACGGAGCGAGCATTCCGAGGCATGCACGCATCTTCTCAGCTGACTCCTGCAGGCCGACTTCTGAGAAAGGACGTGTGCTAGACTTGAAGGAAATTCGACTGGACCGGAGTTAGCTGCCTCCACCCACTTTGGCGGTGCTCCATTTGTCGGACCGGCTTCGTCACGGCGTACAGCCAGCTCCTCCAATCAACATCACATGTTGCCGTGGACTGGCACTCCAGCAGGATCTTCACGCTCTCTGACTCTGACTCCTTGCCGGAAATTCGAATGCTGATCCATCCTGGCATCGGCTGTAGATGGCTCTACACTCTACACTAAACATCAAAGTGCCCAAAGGTCATACCCGGCTGCTTTCGATTGTTGCCCGCCCCCAACCCCCCACCCTACCATCGCCCACCCAAGTGTTGTGGAACTCCCATCCCCCCACTCTGCCCGTCCTATCCTCCCCCACTTGCTCCCATCCAAAAAAACACCCAAAATTTAAATTCTGTGGATTCAGGATTGGCATTTGGACGTTCGATTCTCCCACTCCACACCTCAACAAAAAGCCCTCTCCTTCCCCTTCCCCCTTCCCTCCTCTTCACTTGCCTTCCTTCCGTTCTTAAATCTTGACCAGGGTTGTCCAGGGCGTTTAGGATTTTGGCTGCTTTAGGGGCGCCAGAGTTCCGTGAAGTCGACCACTCATCACTCTCATCACCCTCATTGTCATCGTCGTCTACTTCAAATGCAACTCCCATGTGAACCTGGGGGTTGCGACTTGCCAGAACTTGCCTTCTTGAGGTCCACGGCCACTCTGAAGGCGGTAGTGCAGACGTTCTGCAACGAGCTCCAACTCCTGCTCATGCAGCTTGTAGCTCTGCAGCAGTAAACTCAGCAGAATAATTCTGCCTAAACGATGGAAGCGTCATACCAGTACTTGCGTCGGCTAGCTTGATGTAATCTTGTCGTGTAGCAATGCATGTGTTTAATGATGGTGACAAGATACGCGGATAAGGCGGCAGAAGCCATTGGCATGCAAGGGTGACATGTGGTCGGGTGGGTGCGTGCGGATTTTGTGAGAGATGCCTTGGCAAAGGCACCTGCGGCCTGCGAATGAAGGGACACCGCACTTGAGGCTTCGGAAAACATCGGTCCATACACGGGTGCTTGTTCGGTCTTCGTGCAGAAAGTCGATCCAGAATCTAGGACCAGCTGAACTCTCAAGGCGACTCCCGCGCACACAAGTCAATATGAATTGGGGACTGTCAGCAGCGCCACTGATCAACGACACAAGCGAAACAATCGGATCCAAGGTCCAAAGAAAATGAGAGATTCGAGGGCCGGAAGGCAGCACAACCAGGCTGCCTCCACAAGCGACTTCGTCGCCAGCCGTTCGGGCTCCTCTCTGGCCACAGGGACTGTTTATACGATCTGGTCTTGTTGGATTGCCTCTGCCGTCATCTACCCTCGGTGCCTGTGTTGACTTCAGCTCTCGTCCTTGACGCACCTTAATTTCAATGACTCCTCTGCACGGTAAGAAGCGCGAGGTGTATCAAAATTCATCCTTACCTTTGTTGCAAGCAGTTGCTGCCAGAGCACCACGATGCCGCCTGTCTCGCTGCCACCGACTATTTCCCAAAGTGCCATGCCTTGCAGTCTGCGCGGTACAGAGTGTCCCCCTGCCAGTTTCGATCCCTTCAACCAACATCGCAGATACAGTATGAAGCCGGAGGAAGCGGGATCTGCGCATTCAGCGTGGCACTTGGAACCGAGGGGTGATCTTGCAGGCTATCGGTAGGATCCTGTTAAGACAACAGCACATCCGCACTTCCGGAACATCTCCGGAAACCTTTGCTCTGGAGCATCGGGCCTGGGCGGGGGCACCCTCGGTGTCTTTTCTCAAGGCCCCATCATGGAGCCCTGGAGTCACTCCTACCCTTACTTTGGGAACCTGTGGGGTGGCTGGCCCCCGGTGGCAGGTAGTCTAAAAGGTTTTGGCATGTTTTTGGCTGATCTTCACTGGAATCTTCCAGGGGCGTCTTGCTGGTCCACGGCGTGAAGCTTGCTGCCAGAGATCATGGTCAAATGCAGACGGCTGAAGCCAAAAGGCTCCGGGCAGAAGCCGCATGCGAACTGCAGACAGGAAAATCGTCAGTCTTGCTACTTACTATGATAATACAGGCTGTTACTATACGGATTAAAATCTAGATGTACCTGCACTATGGGGTATCCGCATCGCTCTTTTTCCGAACGACAAATGTCACTCCACTTCACCTGCAAGGCGGACATGAAGCAAGCGCAGCGAACCCAGAAACACGACAACGGTGCACCTAGCTAGAAACGATATGTGGCACGGCCATCTCTAGTCAAGCAGCCCTCAGTCTTAGCCAGACTCTTCGTACGATATCCTGCTGATACAATGCCAAGAGATCTGTCAATAGCATGTAGGAGCTCCATCCTGTCATCATCCAGAGGATCTGGGACTGCAAGACAACCAGGGTTTTCGCATCAAGAGACAGTGCAGACAACCACGGAATCATCAGCGTAACGAACGCCTGCATAACCACCTTTCCTCGCAGTGTAGGTTGCGGAGCCTGCAATGGATTTGCACTGCTTCTCGCCAAGATCTCACTTGAAGCTTGAGAATGATTCTTTCAGCAGAAAGCATCGTGCAGCCCGGTTGCTTGCAGCTTGTCGGTCGTCTACCTGCTCTGCCTGACCTGATGCAGACACCACGGAACAAAAGTCCGCTCTCAATGCCCGACACACATCGGGGACAGAAGATGCTGCACAGAATGACTTTGAACATAGTACTAGTAGTATTATAATTCAATATCTACACATATGAGTGTCAGTCCCTTGCTAGGCCAGCTGCGGTCGATTGTTCGGATGTGCTGGCGCCAGGACACAGCCTGGGCAAGGTGATGGTACAAGAATGGCCGCAGTGGCCAGTCGTCTCTGCTAGCCCTGCTAGCTCTACCCGACTGCAAAGTTGTCGTGGCATTCCGTCAGCAAGCCGAATATCAACTACAGTAGGGGATAGTTGAAGGGTGATCGGGTCAAGCAATCTTACAGCTTCTTGGATCATACACTTGCCGCCACCGTAGGTTCCACGAGCCGCGCAAGTAAGGCCGCCGCACCCGAACCTTCGCGACCGTGAACGGTCCTGGGTGCTTGATTTAAGCTCAGAACTTCGAGCCTGTCTGCAAAGACAGCGAAGCAACGCATCCACAGGGGCTCATCTGGAGAATGCTGTACCGAGCTGTCTGCCGTCCATCAACCGAAAGTGGCGGCAAGGAGTTGAAGTATGCGCACTTCCGGTCTGCCTACACGGAGCTTGACAAGTCTGCACAGGACCAGCATGACCCGCTACATGTTCCTTCGAAGCAGTATCAGAGAGTATTCTCGCGAGGCATGTATATTCATGGAATGCGCCAGTTCAAGTTGACGCTTGAAGTGGGGACCTTCTCCACCGCGACATTGTAGTAGATGTCCGTCCGCTCCAGAAGATTGCGCCGGTCGCCAAAGACAGCCGTTCCACCTTGTACCTGGCAGCCGATTCGCTTGTGCAGCCAAACAGCTCGTTGTGCACAACTCTTGCCAGGGCGTCGTCATATTGACTCACCGCCATGCCGCTGAGCCTCAGAACACTTCAAGTGGACCAATCGAGCTAAAGCATGTTGAAGTTCCTCTCATGACTGTCGACACCGAAGTGCGTGAAACCCGAACATGCCATGGAATTCAAGCGCACCCACGATACATCCAAGCTAGGATACAGGCGCATAGCAGGTATGGTAGAAGTCTGCAGACTTACCAGGCTTGTCCCGAAGTCCGCCGTTCGGATGCTGACCTTGGCTTGCAAAGGAAGCCACAGGTCATGGATTATCTGTATTACCATCTTGTCATGACGCTCAAACTGCAATGCAACCTCTGCAGACCCGCTAAACGCTACATTGCAAATCCTTGCAACTGCGGCTACATTGACTGTCTCAGGCTTTGACTTCAACATCGCAGGCATGTGCTGAGGGAACGGCATGCTAGGAGGATATAGGTCTGCAACCTTATCCCATCAGCCATCAGGGGCAAAGGCAACTGGAGCAAACTTGGTAATTCAGCGCCCATTTCGGCACTTCAGTTCTCAACAGAAACGACCACCACCATGCTTCTAGAACCACTAGCACCTAGGCTGCACCTAGACACCTACGCTGGATGAGGACTGGGACTAAGGATACGCTCGCGAAGCGGTACTCAATGCTTCTGACCTCACGCGCGCCGGAATGGATTCGGAATACTCGACGAGCCACACGCAGCTCATCACGCATGATGCTTTGCCCCGCAGCGGTGCTGTCTTGTCTTCACAAAGGCTTTCGAGTGTTCCATCTGCACGCCCTATCACGCCCTGTGCCGTGGCGCTTTGCTCTTCACTTGAGAAGAGGGCGACGAAAGCTAGGGGAAAGGAAGCGTAGCTGGGAACACGGGGTGACTAGTGAGGCGATGCGAATGACTTGCACGGCGGGGACGTTTGACATGAACAGACCTCTTCAAACAGAAGCAAACTGAGGGACCTTGCAAGGGGGGGGAGGGGGAGAGACTTGAGGGTAGGGGGGAGGGCCCCCCCCCCCCTCTACCTTATCCCACGCGCCGCAACCTTCAAGGAGGGAGGGGAGGGAGGGGGGTGGCGCGCCGCACCTTATCCTTCGAAGATACTTCATGAACGAGGTGAGGAGGGGGCGGCACCCCCTCCCCCCCCACCCCCACCTTAACTCTTGGACGTCCCACCTGATAAGGTGCAAACCCTGTTTTTTCCCTAGTGCCTTAATACAAGGTGAATTGCTAAAGGACAACTCCCGCAAGCTCAACAGAGCTAGCTTTCGTGATGATAGACGGCATGTCCGGTGTGGGTTCATGTCATGTGTGTGAAGAAGGATGTTGGCAGCTGGACCATTGCCTCACAATTCCGGCAAAGGAAAAAGAGTTCCAAGCAAGTTTGAGGCTTTAGATGCGTGCATCCAGCAGACCGCGGCATGTAAATTGATTCGTGGAAAACAATCAACGTCGGCCTCGTGATCACTACTCATCCGCTATCATCCGCTCCAACAAACAAGGTGATGAGAAGTAGGCTAGTTTGCCGATTCGAAAGGAACCCCCAGCAATGAAGTGAACATAACAGTCGTCATCTAGGTCTTTGCGAAGTACCAGTGAAGGTCTGCGTCTTTGCGAAGAACCAGTGAAGGTCTGCTTCGGATGATGTTCGAACACTTTCGCCAACAAACATGCATGTGCTTTGCATTGACACACGGCACGTCGAATTCAGCTGGCAGGCTTTTCGGCTAAGGTGATAATAAGTTTGCGACGGCTGCGGAGCAAACCAGCAGTGATCTTTCGGCAGAGCAACTTCTTCGCCTTCGGACGGCGAAAGTCGTCTAAGTTACGCGGTCAACCACAGCCAGCGATGTAATGACAGATTCCTTATCCTCCCGCACATTGAATGAAACAAGATGAGCGGTGAGGCACAATCATGGACAATAGCTACGGTGTAATCCACTACAGGTGCTGCGACAGTCATCAAACAGTCCTGCCTCGCTGCCGGAAGGCTTCGTGCAAGAGGGGGAAGATGGCACCCTGTTATGGCCGGAAGGCTTCATGTGGGTGGTTGTCAATTTGTAATACGGCACCTAATATTCAGAGTACCCAAAAAAGGACCGTAATTCTGACAACTACCGATGTGTGGAAGGTACAGCAGGTGCAAAAAGCAGCGTCGAACAGGGAGCACGCTCAGAGTAGCAGCCAGCCACACTCTGTGCCGGCACAGCCAGTTGCAAGCAGTTACAAGAGTGGCCGCAAGCCAAAGGCATGCTGCCTGCCAGAAGGAGTAGCAGGAATCCACAAGCTTGTTGGCGCGCCCTTGGAACCCACCCTTAGCTGGGCTGACAGTGGTTTGAGCGTTTCAGTTTGCTTAAAGATGACTGGAGAACAAAGTGCTGCACCTCGCGGGTCATCTGCTTGTACACAGCCCATTTGAGGAACGCATGGAGGTCCAGCGCATCAGCTCTGCCTGTGGGAGATGCGATGAACTGCTACCGCACTGCTACCGCACTACGAGTAGCAATAATCAGGCGGCTTATGCAGCTTGAGGTTTTGCTTAGGGGATGCAAGGCTGATTGCGCTTTGATGCGCTTTGCCAACATGAAAATTTCTCTAGAAGGCACCCAGCGCCGGTATTACAGGAGCTATCAGTATGTGTAGTACAGGAGCTATCAGTATGATTCAGTATGTACTTCATGCTCGGTCTTAGCATGGATCTGCCAGACACACCCAGGACAAGTTCCCAACTTGCTTGGGACAACGCACGCTGTGTGCGTTGGAAGTCGCTTGTCTCCGGGTTGGTTCTCAGAGAACGACTCGGGCATGCCATCTGTCTCCCAGAAGTCCCGCTGCTCAAGAAAAAAGTTGCATGCTGGCGATCTGCAGTCTCCCGGGTGTCCCCCAGAAAACAAACCTTGCTTCTATGTTGCACCGCCAGACGTGTTTCTTGTCACGACAGGCCGATTCGGGCCGGGTCTTGGGCTCCCCATGCGGTTCGAGCTGCGGACTGCAGGCATTACTTGCCGGCATCACAGCCATGCTCTGGGCATCTCTGGGCTGCTGGCTCCAGATCCAGCACTCTGACGAGCGAACACACAAAACACCGAGTTCTCCAGCCGTGAATAGAGATGGAAGAGGGGTCCAGCGAATCATCGTGCAAACAAGACGCAGCACATTGCACGGCACTCGACCCTTCCGGATTCCACGTTGCCAACTATGCCAGTTATTAGATTCTGGATGCTACCGAATTTCGCCTGCTATGCAGAGTGCCGCCAGCCCACAATAGGAGTAGCCACCGTGTGCCTGCGGAATGCATGCGCGGGGGAGGGTCTCTGTGCTTCGGTTCAATGCAGCTTCCCAGGAGGTCTTGTAATTACAACACTAGTCACTAGGCCATGCGGAAGCACTTCAGGCCTCCAAGCCCTCTTCGCCAGCAATGCCACCTTCCCAGGTCTGACCTCAACCGGAGCATCTCTCTACAAGCTGGGCAACTACTCACGTTCGGCGATGCATGGTGCTCTTCAGCTATTCCGTAACCCTTATCAGAATCCAGTGCAGGGCTTTGACAGCACGTGGTGCTGCACTGAGCGAACTACACCTGCGAATGTACTCCGGCACTCCCTCGAGCAGCTCGTCTGTGAGAAGGTGAAGCATGGAAGCGACAGCGATAGCCTGTTGCAGGGCCGCAAGCATGTATTTGCCAATGTGTCGAACGATCTATGGGCAGCTCTGTCTCTCGGTCTGTAATCTTGAAGGCAGTTTTCAAATCTCGGCATCCCACGCAATAGCAGCCGCGCATGTCTGTCTCTCCTTCATCATGCCTAAGCGGGCAATTCGTGAAGAAGTGTGTCGCTTCACTGTGCGATGCTCGTGACCGACCCCCGACAAGGACGAGCTGTCGTACCCAAGGCACTCCTTCTGTGTTCTCTCCAGTTTTTTTTAATTCTGCCGAGGTCTCGGCATCTTGAACCCACCTTGGGGGCCTCGGACAAGGGCGAGAATCATTAGAGTCACCTTCCAGTCCTACATCATCGACGCACTGAATGCGCCACATGTGGAAGGACCTAGTGGTCAACAGTGCGCAATACAGCCCTGGCAGGCTCATCACTAAGGTATCAACTCTTCATTCGCATGAGAAAGCCGTACATGGAAGAGCGGTCCACTGCCTGCAAACGATCAGGTTCTAGGCAAACAGCACGCGAGGATTCAGAACAAACAGAACATGCCCTCGCCAGCAGAAGGATGGCTTACTTCACAGGCTGTGTTTCTGCATGAGCTCTAGCGAGGCCTTGTATGCCGTCTCCGATCCTGCTAGCACCTCAGCTGCGCTTACATGAGCAAAAAACAACTTTCCCAAAAACGACTTCCATTCCGTGTTGCGGATGCACACCTCTGATAGTGGAATGCATGGGCTCAGCCGGAGGCCAGTGCGGAGACAGCTGCATAGGTTGGAGCCTAGCAGCTTAGCAAACAAAGATGATGATAGACACTGCGAGGTTCGCAAACTAATTCGCATTACGGTCCGACCCAGCTCCGCCGCCATGCAACCGCAAGTAAAGTCAAGCAGCCGAAAGTTCAGCAGAGAGAAAAGCTAGGAGCATCCATGAGAGTTGCTGGGAGCTCTACGAATGAACCCCAAATATCGTCAGAATCGTCCGTCAGGAGGGTTTCCCTGCAAGGCACACTGCGACCTGCAATCTGACTGACTCAGCCCCTGCCCGACAGTAATGCAATGCAGTAAGCTACCTGGGAGTTCTAGACCGAAAGAATGTATGAATAAGCAAAGCCTGAATGCTGATCAGCCATGTGCGCAACCAGACCACAACATGATTGAGTCCGCCAAGAATTGCCGCCATATGCCGTTATTGCTGGCTGGGGGCCAGGTGCGGCAGCTGCGATGGACCGCCTCCGAATCCTCCCAGCACGAGTTGAGAAAATGAATCGGTGCACATCTCTAGCAAATTTCAGGAGCCCATCCATGCCGCAGTTCCCTCACGCTAGGAGTGCAACGAGCAAACCAACGAGCAGTATGGAGGAACACTATCAGGGTGGAACGGTGGGAAGGAGTTGCGGCATGTTTGAACTTACTTGCAATAAACCCTCGATAAACATCCTGACATTCGATGGCCTGAGACATGCTTCAACAGTAACCCTAAACCCTAAACCCTTTCAATGCGGCATCAAGCATCAAACCTCCTTTGGGACCTCATGTCCTGCAAAAGCGAGTCTTGCCGGCTGTGTGTATTGTCATCTAATATATATATATATATATATATATATATATATATATTATTAACAATAATATACTGAAACATTCAATGGTATATTATAATATATTATAATATCCTCTAACATACGAAAACCTGCGTTACGACCCCAGTGGAAAAAGAAGGGTCCGCATGGAAGACGCCTTGCTTTTAAGACCGAGGACAGTGCACGAAAGCCATGACATGATCGGCCTCCAGTGGGATCTTGACAGTGAGAAAGGAAAGCTGCAACCTCAAGTATGTGTCGGTACAGACGACCCACAACTGCGGCATTGCATCAATCTCGTTCCCCTGCGACGAACTCTTGGATCAAGACCTGAGGCGACCAAAGAGTCTCGCTAAAGTCGTCCAAGATCTCCAGCGCATGGGAAATCCAGAAGACGAACCACGGCCTGCGGACATGCAGGCTTCTGAACGCGCGATATACCCCGTGCATCAAGCGATCCGAAACTCAGGGTTGCTTGGCAGCATGTCATCCTCGGCAAATCTCGACAGCATGGTGTCAACCATGGTCTAAGACGGGCGCCTGGAGGCGTCCAGACCTGTCGTTCCATGTGAAAAGCCCAAAGGTGAGGCTGCCATTGATGCCGGACTCGATACTTTAGATGTTGTGGCTGGTCGATATGGTCGCTCCATCCCGAACTAAACTGGACCCATAGCTTGAGCTCTTGGCCTGCAAAGTTTGGAGGCAACGACACCAGACCGCGCTTCCTTAGCTCTACAATTAAACAGACTGGTCGAGCCCGAGACGAGTCTAGAAACGACTTGGGACCTTACAGTAGAAGCCAGAAAGTTGGAATATCATTATCCTAACCCCTTTAATGTAAATTATAGGGGATCCTACCATTAATCCATATTCCAACTTTCTGGAGTTCCCTTTAGGGACATCAAGCCTTGGTGCTGGATATTCCGCTTGGCGCTTCGCAGGCCCGCACAAACCGCCCGCACATCTCCACAAGTTTCATTGCGGTTTTGCGTGCGCACCTACCGCGACACCTGCCGCATTCGGCATCCTCAATGAGCGTGAGCAAATCGAGCTGATAGTAAATTGCATAAAGGTAAGCTTCCTTTCTAACAGCTATCGAGTGACATAACAGGTGCGGTTGTTGGCGAAACAAGCTCGAGCCGGGAGGCAGCCAGTTGACGTGGCGCTCGCGCTGCAGGGAGATTTCCTCCTGGAGAGAGCACGAAATTATTGGCGTGGGGGGACCCTGCACCAAGCGAAGTCCGGAAATCTTCTCCGGCGCCTGGACCCGTCGGCTCCGTGAGTCTGTGAATGAACATGGCTGAGAAACTGAGACTCGGCATAGTGCAGCTCCTGCGTCTTGGTGTGCAGCAAAGCGTGCTGGAAGATGTTGAGGACGTTCCTTGAAATGACTCCACACCAAAAACATCGAGTTGTCGAACGGCTTTATTTGTGGAAGGTCTTTGGCGACTCCTCGAACCTGGAGGGAACAACAATGCTGCCAAGGAGCTCCTCGCAGCATTGCCTTATTACATCTTCGACAGGCTGATCGGAAGCTTGAATACACGCTTGGGCAGGAAGTTGTAGGCAGACCCCAAAAACCGGAGTTCGATGGACAAATCGTTCAAAAGCCCAAGGCGCTGCTCTTCTGATGTCAGAGTATCTTCGCACTCCAGCTGTACGGAGGGACTGCCGTCCATCATGTCTAGCCGGGGCGACTTTCGAGTGATGACGATGACTGCTCTTAGTTTGGCGCATCTTGTCTTTTGCCTCGTCGCCCCCAAGATGTGTGAGGGCGGCTGCTGTATATCCTTTGCCCTCAGCCTCCAAATTTAGAGATGACTATGACCGGTCTGGGCTACATGTCAGTTGTTGTCTCCCGCTTGCAGATGTCTTGGAGATGAAGCCGGGAGCTTGCGCAGCACCCAAATGTTCATGCGGTACTGTCTTTGCGCTTCCCCCCTGCATTGAGCCAATGGCTTTGTGGGGCACACATCGATGTCGATGCAGGTCCGTTAACTCGCTCGGATCATACAATGTTTTTTCTGCATGCATGGACCATTGGTGGGACGTGTTGCCGTGCACTAAGACCGGTCAGTATCAATGCATGCGCATTCAACGATTCCAGCCTGGTACTTACCGATTTAACGAGAACGCCACGAAAGCAAGGGCAACGAAACAACAAGAGTCGATGGAGCTCGGGCAGCGTTGATGCAAGCTCGTATGCATTGCCATCTGCAAGATGATAACATTGCTTCACATCGGCCCACATGCAGATACTCCCTTGTCGTATCGTGGTGCCTTGCTTTGACCGACTTCATTCCGCATCGGAATGTCCCTGCATAAGCAATAATTTGGCCATCTATGAGCAGTTTCGACATGTCCGGGTGGCAGCTTTGCTAATTAGTGCTAACTGCTGAGGTATCAATCAGACTTGAAACTTGCTACGTAATCGCAGTTGGCCATGTCAAGACAAAACTCACGCTGCCATGTTGCTTAAACAAATGGACCTTAAGGTGGGGGGGCCAAAGGAGAACAGCGAAGATCAGTGAAGATCCTGCACGCCGGTTCCGGCGTTGGCAAGGAAGATAGTGGAAACTGGGAAAGACGTCGAGCTCCCTGTCCCTAGCTTCTGAAGCTTCTGCACTTCAGCTACATAGCCCCATCGAAGTTGGCAGACTCCATTGATGGAGACATTAGTGGCTACTCTTCGACACCCTCCAAACGCAGAATTCGAATGTCGGCTCTGGCATGCTGTTGGCTCTCGTGACATGCAGAAACATTTCCTTGAGCTGCTCCTTCACTTTCAGCTCCACAACTACTAATAACTTAGGTGCCAGCTTCCATGGGCCGGTTCGCAGAGGAACAGAAGCGCTCCAATTTCGAGGGGAGATCGAAGCGGAGCTTGAACACAGGATGCATTCCAGCTCCTCCTCGATCTCCCTGACATTGGAGCTTCTGCTCCTCCTCTGTGAACCGACCCATCGCATCAATTTTGATAGAGACGAAAGGCTGCCTGAGGCAAAAGAAGGCCTAGATGGAAAATTGCAACAAAACAAGAGACCGTGTTGACCCTTTCAAAGCACACTTTGAGATCTCCCCTTGTTTTGCCCAGAGTTGGGGCGACGCTGCATGAGATGTCAAGCTGGCAGGAGGCTCACACTGGCCATTTTCGAAAGCATTGTGTCCCAAGGCAACCTACGCTAGCCCATTTCATAAGGGGCCTCTCCAGATCCGACACGAGGCGTGTCTCACATCCTCCTCAGCAGTGAAGATCGGGTGCTCTGTTGCAGAGTCCATCGCAGCTTGCAGCCGCGACGGCATATTGCATCTTACGAGCAGCAGTGCAAAGACACGCAGCACATGATCCAACATCGCTTGCCCGGCCAAACATTTGGGCCCTTTCGGACAGGTTTGGCAGCCGCAGTCTCGGCCGAGCTCTTTGCGAGAATGCTTCGAACTAGCTGTTCACTCCCAGCATCTCCTCATCCTGCAGGTATGAACATGCGCTTGTCTCAACAGCTACGTGGGAGGGTAGGAGTAACGCTGATGTAGGCTGATGGCACTGCCCTGTGTCGTAGGTTTTGTTTTTGTCACAAGGATACCTCAGGTGTGAAATTTGTCCGTGCTACCCCTCCTGGAAGAAGTCGTAGATCGAAGTTGCTTTTGCTTCTCTCTTCTCCACCTCAAGAGAGCACCGAGCTCTCATCTCCCAGCTGCAGCTTCCCACTTGCAGTCGCGACACATGTGACGAGTTTTCCACAGGCTTCCGACCGGGAGGTCTACACTACTGTTGATGATATAAATCCTGCATTACCCATTGTGCGGAATATACCATAATTCTCATAGTCTAGGGTCATTAAGGTAATGCAGGATTTATATCATCAAGCTTATCACTATCACTACCCGGCCTTCTCCTCTGAAGCTTCAGCTTCCGGTGCTGATTTGGCCTTCGATGCCTTCCCAAGTTCGCTCAGCGACGTAAGAGCTGTCTCGGACTTACTAGAAGTGGGAAGGCTGGCGACGCCCCCTCGCAACCTGCTAGCACCTGGTCTCGTAAGAACAGTTCGCTGCTAAAGCGCCCACGCATACAGGCGACTGCGTTTAACATTCAGGAATCTTGTCTTGCAGACTTCAACAGTGGATTCGGGGTGCGCTGTTGCGGCAGGGTCCTTTCTGTGTGCTCATGCAGGTTTGGCCAAGCTTCTTCCGGCTTTCTTGGTGTCGTCTCAACTCCCGCCCAGACCTGAAATTCACCGACAGTACCTTTGCGCCGTCGTGGATCCGGCCGGCAGGAAGTTACCACAACGGCCCGAATCCCAAACCTCTGAAAACAACGGAAGGCAGCCTTCCACCTAGGTTCAGTATTCACTGTCGTCATTGTGTGTGCGTGGCGACAGTCTTGCCGTGAACCACACAAGGTTTCTGCATACTTGTCTACCCCGCACGTCCCTGCTTACACTGCTGCCGTAGTCAGCATGAAAGATCGAAGGTCCACGATCGCAGGGCCACCCCGCCAGCTTTTCTTACCCAACGCTGCATTCGTGCAGACGCGTTGAGTTGGTGTGTCGCAGGTACCGCCAAAATGTGTTTGTGCTTGCTCCTCGTCAATATCCACCGGCTCCCTTCACCCACTATTGCTTTGGAAGCATTACTCCTAACTATGTATGCATGTTTGCAAGCACTCAAAGGGCACTACATTCGAGCAGTGCCGTCTGCCACGTCTTCATTAGGATCTGTGTCCCCCAAGACATGCACAGAACATATGACAGAACGATACGGTAAACAAGCCGCACGAAGAGTTACTCTTAGAAGCCACGCTGAATTTCCAGAAACTCATGACTAAAATTCAACGCCTACACGCCAGCAGAATCCTCGTCTTGTTGATATCGCACGCTGCTTGACAGGAGCTGGCTGTGCTTGTACGGAACTGACATGGCTTGGCAGCTTACTTTGCCCAGAGCAATCATTTCGGCCGTGGCCTCTTTGGCACGTGGAGCAGAGGCTTCGCCTGGTGCAGGACGGCATGGCATGCTCAATCACGCCAAGCAACATTCTGGCCACAGCAACCGGGCGATCACAGACTCTTCCACGAAGCTACGACTCGGCTAGCTGAAACAGGCACGGTACATCTGTTTTACGGTCGCAAAAGCGGCCAAACTTACATGACGTTCTCATGGAGTCGTTTGTCTGCCTGGTGCTGCATCCCAGACGAAAGTAGCTGCCTTCGGTGCTGGAGCAAAGCCTAGCGGGCAAAGACGTGCAAAAAAACTGCTGAACTGCCAACCGGCAGCCTTGCGACATTCGGAGATGCTCTGCGCCGTTTGTCCTCAGACTCCAGCAACCTCCTTCCGAGCCCAAGAAAGAAGCACTTGAAGATCTGAGGCAGGAGCGTGTACAGCTCATCCCACGGATCTGCCAAGCTGTAAGGCCTCGGCAATCTGACTTTAAATTGCATCACGCCTCGGGAAGTCCCGTGTAGATTCCGAGCAGGTGCGCGAATTCAGATGGGGCATCTTGCAAACTCGCTTCATCAGATGTCGGGGATCAGGCCCCTTGCGTGGTGCCCGACTTACCTCGCGGTGGATGTAACACACTGCAGGGCAAATAGAATGCTCGCACAACTACAGCCTGCAACCAGTATCAGACTGCCGCACTTTGGACCACTGTTGTATCTTGTTGTATCTATTGCTGCAGAAATGCTTCTGACGGGCAAACCTCGTCTGGCGGCAGAGTCGCCCCAAAGCAGCGCGTGGCCTGTCAATCAAAAACCAAGGGCTCTGCGTTCATCCATTTGCCCCACTCACCAGCTGCAAATCAGGGAACGGCTGACCTGAAAGCGACGTCGGTCTGGATCGTAGATGAGGTCAAACATTACGAAACCTGAGATGCTCACTCTGACGATTTTGGGTGAACTGCAGAAGTTGGCATCACACGCAGGGGAGGCATGGGCAACTTGTCTCTTGTCCCAATGGAGCAAGTTTCTGAAGCAGCGTTCATTGAGGGATGGACTATCAACGATGAGACTTTGCCCATCTTTCAAGACCTGAGAAGCTGTCAACACCCGGGGCGCGGAGCCTCGATAGCATTTTCTGAGATCCAGGCAGATTTGTGCACGAAAACCTGAGCACTGCACACACTCCACCTCCAGCAAAAACTGCTGTTCAGGAGCCCGAGTGCCCTGGCATCCTCTGCACCTCCTTCCGGCGTGATGAAGCCGAAAGCGCGATCCTGGCGCTGCACCATGGCTGTGACTAGCCGCCACACAAGAAATTGCAAATCTGTGCGGGTCAGCATTATCCAAGATTCACTTCTGCGACGCTGAACGGTACTCCGCACGCAACACACAAACACACACTCTGAAATGGCCGCAACAAAAGGCTTGCAGACTTTAATCTCAGCCACAACAATACAACCGGCATCCGACATCCGAAAGCGCCAGTTCCCCTTCCCCAACCCTAGACCATACATCCTGAACCCTACATTGAGGCGTTCAACGTGGCACCTAAACTTACCAGCTTTTTCCCACCTCTTCGCTACATGGAAATAAGCTTTTCAGAAGCAATACAAAGCCTACTACAAAATTGCAACAGGTGTTGCAAATGGGCAAAAGTTCAACATGAACCATGTGTGTGTGTGCATATATATATATATAAATATGCACACACATGCATACTCACCACACACACACATGCCCATGTGC